TAAATCGTTAACGGATCAAAAGCCAAGGAGGAAAAGGTACCAGCAGCACGCTCTCAACAACTGCATCTGAAATGGGCAAAGTTGCCCTCCTTAAATGAAACTTCTCTTCAACCGACGCCCTCTTCACTGACCGGCACACCGAGGCCTGGGCCGTTTTCTCCGCAAAAACATCGGCAGCTTTGCGATGATCCAGCAGCCCTGGCTGGTGAGAAAAGCAAAAGCAAACATGTCCTATCGCAAAAAGCATTGGAGCATCTCAGAAATCAGCAAACGGAGTAGAACGGAGAGTGAGGTTTTGGTTGGCTGGCGGATCTGGTGTCTCATCGAAAATCATCGGTCAAAATTTGGGATGGCAGGCCCGTCGAGCAATTGCACCACCAACACCCAAATCACGAGATGTCAAGCAAATGAGGAAACACGATCTTGAAGCTGCCAGTGGTTGGTTGCTCATGTAGGGTTAAACAATTTAGAAGACGAGTGACGACCTTGTGCGTACTCCGACAAAAATGGATTTGAAAGCTCTTAAGAAGGCTTCCCATGGGGTCACGACTCTTGCGTCTTCCCGAAAAATACCATCCACCCAAGCAGAAACAAATTAAGTAGACATTCACTACTTTCGACCTAGCCTATGCAGCAGGCTATCAGTCGCGCTTCCCACATTTGCCAAGCTCTTCTCCAGCATTTCTCCCATCAAATGTCTGATCTGGCCATCCATGCTCTCCAAACTGCCCAAGGTGTTGATGATGTATTCAAAGATCTTTCTCCTCGTCGTGGTGCTCCAAAACATACAGTATCAAACTGCATGCCTTTCAGTCCCAAGCTTTCCTATCTAACATGATCTAACAACGTGCTATCCAGCAAATCACCAGAAGCGTTACAATAAACCGCCACTTGGGAAAACTAGCGTTCTTAGGCCAACTAGCTATAGGCATCCTGAGAACGACACTGGCAAACTGGGTCATGGCACCGGACGAGAACGACGCCGATCTCACACCCAGATATCGCACAGGGCACTGATACCATGCGCAACCGATAGCATGGGCTCTTTTGGCGACCAATCCCCATGAAGAGACCAATTCACCTATTTGAGTCGGCCGTTTTTTATTGCCAATGGGTTCCTATAACCATGGACCATGGATGCTGCGTGTCCATTTCTGAATTTCTGGTGTGAGGCAAGCTTCTTGTCTTCTTCACTGGATGCTTGGCACTGTGTTACCTGTAGGCACTCGATCTTCTTGCCCACTTCTAAGGCGATGTCAATGGAAGTGCATCCGTCCTCAAGAATGAAACACTTCACAGATGTCATGCAGCAGGTGACAAATGTGGGTCACAACCCCTACGAGTACCAAACATCGGGGTCGTTGGTACGGGTACCATTTTAGTTCCATTCCCTCCAACCAACGTTGTGCGCTGATATTGAATGAGGCGTCATCGCCCACCACTCCCACATCAGTCGTGAAGACCAGCTCCAGTTGCTCTCGACTGGACAAGAGGAACTCGAACAAGCACCAAACTCCTTGAGAGTTCGGAGACAAAAACGGCACGGCACGTTTTGATGGCTCTACGAAACAAAGTTCCGGTTTATAGTATTTGGGGGGGTGGTATTTCGTTTCGAAGGTGTGTCTCATGGTTTTAGGATGTTTTACGTTACTTCAACTTAACATATGTTTCATTTACCTGCTTAGGTCATCTTAGGTGTCTTGCCTCACAGTCTCGTGATTGCTCGATACTTGCTTTTGTTATGGACATTTGCAGTAGATTCAGATGTGGTTTTCACATTGGTCTGAAACCAAGGACAAACGAACCACCGAGGAGGAAAAACAGAGAAAACCTGAACACGTAAATCATATTCAAGGCATAAGTATGCATAAGTATGCTTCAGCTATATTCGGCATTTGATGAGGTACGAACATGTCAATGTCATTTGTAGGGTTCCAAGTACTTCCTCAGAAGGTAGTTGGAGGCCTAGGGTACACTATGTCCACTTGTTTCTGTGTGCTTTTGCCGTGCTGTCAAGGCTCGTGTAAGCGGTTGCACCTCGTGATCTAAAACCATGGCAACTCCCTTAATTCCACCCCTCAATGCCCTTGCAAAAGCACTATCCATTGGATCATCCGCCAATTCGGCTGCAATATTCCACTGGTTGTTGGCCTCAACTAGTCAACAAATGCCCGAGCTTGGTGTAAGATTCACTTCCCTGTCTGAGCAAACAAGAGACTATAAAGTCTGAAACTTGTGTTCTTTCTCTCTCTCTAGATCCCACACTTTAAACCAATTTACCTAGCTCGGAACTGATCTGAAAAGCACATCTGAAGTTCAGTTCCTAGTGGCAAAGGAACAAATCCAATAGGCTGCATCCATCCAAAATGTAGGGCCTTCCTTGGACAGGGCATGGCAGTGGATGGAGTGCACAAAGTGATCGAAGCTCGTGCCCCAGGAATGTGACCTCAGCTGTGCAGGGTGGGCTACTGATAGCTCTGACTGCCTAGGGTGGATATATAAATAGCATGGCTCGGAAATGACAACTATGGCCTTCACATGGATGAGGCAAAGGCCGCACTCTGACGCACGGCGCCCTCATGCGGCCCAAGAAGGGCCAAGGGGGTGGAACCCGCCAGTAAGTCCGAGCGTAAGATTCAGCACGTGGTCAAAGACTGAACGCTTTCATCAGCGAGGTACTGATAGTCTACACTCGGACACACGTTGCTACGTCCTACAAATACATCCTTGGAGTGTGAGTGTAGAATGTCTAGGCTAGCTGATCAAGGATTCAGTCGGTAGCCCTGGCCATGGCCAAATGTATCACCGAGTGAGCTTGGAAGGCACATATGACTCAAGTACACTCACCAACTTTCTCCTAAACTCCTAGGTGCTTCAATGAAGCAATGAAGCGTACACTCAACTAGACGACGGTTGGCCCGAGAGCGAGACATGTAATTGTCCAGCACTGTCGAAAAGATGTATAGAAAGAGAGAAAGAGAGGGTGGATGTGAAGGAGTGACAGTGTGATGTGCAGGTGCGATATAGATCTGTAGATGTATGGAGGTGGAGAGGTAGATCTGTGGATGTGAGTGTGCGAAGATGTAAATGCACAGAGACGAGAGAAAAAATATGTAGAAAGAAAGACAGGACAGATGTGAAGGAGCGACAGTGTGGATGTACAGATGTGATATAGATTATAGATGTGCAGATGTGTGGGTGTGGTGAGGTGGAGAGGTAGATCTGCGGATGTGAGCGTGTGAAGATGTAAATGTAGAGAGGTGAGGGGGTGTAGACGTAGATGCGTCGATGCAACGGCAATGCAACGTCAACCTTAGTTGTGCAAGTACAACGCTGAAGAGGTTCAACTAGAACTGAAGAACGTACATTTCACACTGAAGCTTCCACGAACAGGGCGACCTGAGAGTAAACGACGTCACGATCATGACAAGCGACTCGTGTATTCCAAGCGAGCATCGTTTGTCATGAAGGTGAAGTACACACATACTAACGTCAGGATGACTCTTTTGTGGCAGCCACTTATGAGTAAGCAAAGTAGCTAAAATTTGTCAACCTCTCAAGAGAGCCGGGTGGTCGGGAGACATGACTCAGCTGCAGGGGCGCCAGAGCAGCTGCGAGAGATGACTCATCCGCGTACTAAAGTTGTACTAGAAAGTCGCCAGTTCTCAGCTTCCAGCTCCACAGCTTGCTCCGCGTACTACAGTTGTACTACAAAGTCGCCAGTTCTCATCTTCCAGCTCCCCAGATACTCCGCGTACTAAAGTTGTACTACAAGGTCGCCAGCTCTCATCTTCCAGCTCCCCAGATACTCCGCGTACTAAAGTTGTACTACAAAGTCGCCAGTTCTCAGCTTCCAGCTC